AAGTATTACCTTATAAAAAAGAAACAAATTCTATTACACCACTGAGTGGAGCACTTTTAAGTCCTTTTTAAAATTCAGTCTCCTGAGTAAGCCTGCAAGGTTGTTGTTAGCTTCATTTCATAGCTGGGGCAAGTGAAGCTTGCTGCCATTTGGTAACTTTTGCAAAGAAGAGTTCATAAATGGTCAAACTTATCCTAAGCCAAGTCTATAGTCTTCCACAGTGCATTTTCTGAACTGCCATGCTAGACACCCCTGGGTAAGAGTGCTTCTAACTCCAAACTTCTGTGATCTGAGACAGTCCTGATAGTGAGAATTGATAAAGCACTGAAAGAGTTTTCACCTTTAACTCAAGGTTTGTTCTATGTCCTTGAATCTTTCATTATGAAACTTCTGATTTCTTAAATATCATTTATAGTTTTGACGTTGAAAAATGTGTATTTTGGGTAGACTCATCTTGAATATAGTGATTGTTATGTGACTAGCTCTAAGAAATTAAAATATCTAAGTCTCTGTACACTAAAGAAGTACAGGAGTATTCTTAAAAAAACAGCAACTTGTATGTTGGGAACATTGTATCCATGATTAATGATTAATGTTTTCCTTAATGTTTCCACTGCGCTTTAAGTCTTTGAAGATCAGTTTTGAGGAATGTGATAGTGTCTGGAACAAACAGTATTTTACTCAACTGGCATGAGTCATTATTGACCCTTCATACAATAAAAACACAATTCTGGCTTTCTGTGAGGCGTTTCGAAGTTGTGACATTTTTCAACATCTACTTTATAACTTTTAATGATAAAAACAAAATAATAATTAAATAATTATAACAATAAACACTTTTTTGAAGGCCCATTATGTGTCAAGCTCTACGAAAAGTGTTTATCTGCATATTTAATTTCATCTTTATAGTATCTCCAAGAGATAGAGGCTATTAGAATATTTTACAGTTGGGCCAAATTCACTCAGCTCACAAGTGACAGTTCTGGGAATTTTCTTCTCCAGAGCCCAAGATTTTAAACATTAAGCATATTGCCTTCCAAAGCATATTGCCAAGTACTGTGGAAGGACTGGGGATTATACCTTGTGATTCAGGCTGCCATCTTGAAACTAAATTGTAAGTGAAAACATTTTACTTGGGTATATTTTTTATATTAAAATATATTTGAAAAGAATTTGGAATGTGTTGAAGTCATAGTCATAGATTGAAACTTCATAAGTATCTGTGCATTGAATTATTTTTTAAAAAGTGGAATGAACTTTTTCTATCAATTTGAAAAATAAAGTAAAAGAAGGAAAGAAATAGATTAAATGTTTTTCCCTTATTTTGTATATTGTGGGCAGTGCCATTTATCTTAGTTTTGTTAATAAAGATTGGATTTTCAGAAGGTTTACGTTTCATCCTTGCTTTATGCTGCAATGTGGTCACACAGAATGTCTCTTTATGCTGACTGAAGTTAATACATGCATCTTACTTTTTAATATTGCATCAACTATGGTCATAGTGGTGGAAAATATTAATGCTCCGTGTGCTACACTATGCTAGGTGTTTTATAAACAGTAACTCCGATTATTACAAACTCCCATTAGAGAGCTATGTCTAACCTTATTTTACCGGTTAAGACATAGAAATTGGAAGTTCCCAGAATTAGTGAGTAGTAGACCTGAACTGGGTTTTAACACAGCTCTAAAGCTCAAGCCTGACCTCCTTTCACTGTACAATTCCTCTCCAGAAGGAAAGGCTAGCATCATCCCTAAGAGGGGCTGAAAATCTTCTAAGGGCACCCAAATCATTGTGAAGAATTGTGTTAATAACCCAGCAATTCACACTTGTTCAAATTTTCAGAATTTTCCTGGGATGCAATCAGTTTTTAGGGGGCTGAAGCCTGAGGCTCCCTGGTCTCTGCTGCTGATTACAGAGCGCTAGTCCATGAGAGGTTTTCTGGAGCTCCCTGTTCACACATACACGGAGCTCATGGGTCAACCGCATGGCAACACCCTCTGCTGCTCTACCCTTGTCAGCCTTTCTTCCTGGAATGCATGCTGAGGTCCTCCTTGTGCCTTTGAAATTTTTATGAAGAAGATGATTATTTTTGGTAGAGCAAAATATGTAGAAATTAAACTTCTTAGAAATTAAACATCTCACTTTTTATTTTCCTCAGAGAAAATAATTATTGACAGAGGCAAGGGAACACTGATCTCACTGCTCAGATTTGAAGTGGCCCCAGATAATACAAGTTAGGAGGAAAAAGAACTCCAATTAAACTCTGGGAAATCCAGACATATATTCAACCAGTATTTATTGTGTGCCAGGAATTATCTGGGGTGTTAGAAATACAGTGGGGAATAAAATGAACAGAATTCTCATCCTGGTGCAGTGTGCATCTAAGGAGAAAAATATGCAATAAACACATCAGCAAATAAATTCATAATATAGAATCAGATGGCGATAAATAGTAGAAGGAAATAATATGTCAGTGTAAGCGCACAGATAGTAGGGGCAGAGTATTTTCACCAGGTGGTCAGAACATGTCTTGTTTTTTGTTAGCAGCTTCAGCCAAGGTAAGTAATGAAGAGTTAGACTTGAAACGATTGGTTTCCACATGTTAAGTATAATCTAAAATGAAATATTATAATTCCTCTGTCTAGCACCCTACTCATCTTCCAGCTGCTTTAATTAGAGTAGTTTGTATTTGTTCTACAAATAGGGCTTCCTTGCAAAATTTTCTTTGGAGATGGGTTTCATATCTAAAATTGCCTTAGACCAAATAAATATTAACTTAACACAGGAGGAAGCTGAGCCTCAAAGGGAAGCAGTAACTTGGCCAAGGATGCTTGTGCTCCCAGTGGCCAAGGGAAACCCAGGCTGGTCCTCTCTGTCCAAGCTCTGTTCTCGGCCTCCAGGTCCTGGCCTCCAGCACTGAGAGGCACACAGCATTCCTGTGAGGCCGTCTAAGTCCTCTTGACCGAGGAGGGTTGATTCCCCAGCCCCAGCCAAAGTCACCCAGCAGCTAGAACAGAGCTTCCCTTTCGGGAACTTAGCACCCAGCTCATCCCCCACCCGCTGGCTGTAATTCAGGTGCCAGCGTTGTGCTTTCAGCAGGAACACAAGCTAAAACTTCACAAATGTCTGAAGCAGAACAAAGCAAGTGTCAGAGGAGAACGGGCACAGAGCCTGTGGACCGCACTCGAATCTTAATTTTTCGGAGTGCAGATCGCCCTGTATAACAGGTCGCTCAAAGCGCCCGATGCGTGCTGGGGGCCTCCCTTGGAGGCTTCGCTATTCATCCCATCTTGTTGAAGTGGCTTTTCTTTTGTGGCTCTCTTGGTGTTTGGCTGAATTGTTACTGAATTCCTCCCTGACTTCTTTTTTCCTTCGGAAGACAGAAGAAAAGAAGCCAGCAAAGGCAGGCTCCTCTGGGAAGCCTCCGCCCCTTGCACTTGGCTGCTTCCTTTCGGGGAGCCCTGTTCTCTTCTCTCTGGGCGCCAGGCGCGTCTCCAGCGCTCTCCGGGAGGCCGGCTGCAGGATTCATTAGTGCTCACAATAGGCACGCATAGCAAGGGAATATGCAAAGAAAGTGGAGGACCTCGGAGTGGCATTCAAAGCGGCAGGCAGGAGTGGGAGTTTCCCTAGATTTTCCTCCTTTGTTTCTAATCATCTTTTCTGTTTCCGCAGTTAGGATGCTAATAGAGTGAATAGCTGGGCGTTCCAGAAGAAGAATCAGTGGCGGTTTCAGAAAAGGAAATGCAATCTGGGATGAAAAATAGCTTTTCTTCCCCTTGGGGTGTGTGTTTGGTGTCTGAATGCTTTGCCAGCGATGAGGCCAAGGACTAAAAGGAGGATAAAGGCTGTGAGTGGCACAGAAGCCCCTGATGAAAGTTCTGGCTCAGCCGGCAGCTTTCTGCGAGTTCTGCGCAATTCAGCACTGCCTTGGGGCTTTGAGTCCTTTTTTATAAAATAAGAGGCTGGCTAATAGGATTTCTAGCCTATCACCTCTTTACAGTTTTAATATATCGTTTTAAAAAGTTACATTTCAAGACGGTAGTAAGGAGGTGACATTACAGACGTAAACATAAAAATGTAGGGTAATTGGAAAAGCACTGAAATTATTTCACTCTTCAAAGTATATGCATTTATATATACGTGTACACACACGTGTACACAAACAAATATATACATACATACAGTCATTTTTCAGGTGCCTGAAATTCTGTCCTTAAAGACAGGTGTGAATCCCTGTTCTATTAGCATCTGCCTGTGATCCTTTTAGCATTGTTTACTGTCTACAAGACTCAGTTTTTTTTTTTCCTTCATAATGACAATAAATATTGTCTATCTTTTAAGTATGTTACAAGATTTAAATGAGGGAACATGTTTAATGCTAGTTCTTCTTGTCCGAAAGATAAGAACACATGGGTGCCATCATCCAATCTCAAAGTCATTGGGTTTTGAGTGAAATGGTATGATGGATAATTACGCCATTTCCCCAAAGTCATGAGGCACTTGAAGTTATTTTTTTAAAACTGTTTTTCACACACCTGTGTTGGCTAGATCACAGAGCTTCGGCTCGTCCTCTTGAGGAAATATTATCTGTGTCAACTTTCTTCACTGTCTCCTGGCTGATTTATCACCACCTTGCAAACGTCTATTACCTGCTAGCTCTAGGAGACTCAGAGCAATGGTTGCACCAATCTGATACTTTCTGGAGGTTCTTTTTTCCATACTGGTCTTCCACCATTGGTGATATTTACAAATGCTCTTCCAGAATATTATTGATGAAAGTTACAAACCTGGAAAACAAAGTGTATTGTTTGTTTCTTTCGATTAATTTTCTGAGTGAACAACACTAGCAACTCAAAATGTCTTGAGGGAATTCAAAGGACAGAGGAACAGTTTTGAGGGACACACTGGTACAGTGGAGCTTTTGCACACTCATCTAAGTGCAAAGTCTTTCATGTTTGACCCTACACCTCCATCATACTAATCAGGCTTTATTTTTCAGGAAAGTGCCGCAGAGCAGAGAAGCAATTCTCAACAAGACAAAGCTAGTGTAACAGAGACTTGTGGAGTCAAGTTAAGAAGAGCATAGACAGCGAGTGGAACTCTTGACTGGAGTCTCGTCCATCATTTCTTCTCTGTGTAACCCCAGGCTCTTAGTTTCCTCTTATGTAATCTGGAGATAATGACATGTATTTTATATAATTATCATGAATATTAAAACAAAAACGCCTTTATGCCACATGTTTAACATTGTGTCTACATCACAGATATGTGCTTTATATACTCAGTGCTTTGTACCCACTGATTCCTGGTGAATGAAATACAGTCAGATATCACAATGACTGTCTGCTGAAATGCTGGAATCCTGCCTGTTGTTCAGGAACCAGAGTGGAGAAAAATGAACACTGTAGTGTTTTTACTTTTTAGAGAAAGATCATTTGTATGTGGCTCCACTGTAATAATTGCATTTGCAATGCCTTCATGCTGTCACATGGTCTAACCCCCAGGATCTTATCTTAATAAAAATTCAGTTAAACACATGTTTAAATTGGCCAGATCAGCCAAATCTGGAACAGGGAAAGTTGTTTTCCTCCTAATGAACTGTCCCCTGGACACGGGCAGTGCCACAGAAGTTCAGAAATGTTTATTGTCCACCGCATTTCCAGGAGTTATACTCTTTGTTGAACCCCATCATGGTGCCGGGGGAGGCTGGTGATTCATTAATTCACTGTGATGATTTGTCCTAATTATTCTAATTACTGCCTTGTCTCCTCAGCCCAGCTGGTGCCTAAAGCAGAGGGAAAGTCACCAGTCATGAGTACTGCGGCAGCCGCTGCAGAATCCTGGGCATTGGATCTGTAGGATTCACCGTCACCGCATCAAAAAAATCTTGCTGCTGCTGGAACTGACTTGGTCTTGGTGCTGCTCTGGCCTGAGTCAGGGTTCCCGGGGCCTCGCCATGCATGCATGCTGTCCTCTGCTCCTCTTGTTCCTTTTCAGGGAGAGAAGAGGCCTGATGGAGGGGGCTTTTCTGTCTTCCCAGCCTGCTGCCCCCCAACTCCAGACAGCATCTGCTGTGTGTTCTTCGTGCACCCGTCCCTGTCTGAATGTATCTTAAACCCAGTTTGGTTTCTAGCAACTGTAGATAATAAAAATATCTATTTCTTACTGCACACTACTGAGTGCCAAGATGGATGTTCATTGCCATATGTTCACTGTCTCTAAGTTTAGTGTTTGCAGTTTTAGTTCATACATCAAGGCTCTGCATGACCTAGAGACTAGTTTACATTGCCCAGCCTGGGAGTGACACATGGGACTGAATCCAGGCTGCTGCATAACCAAAGTTGGCGCCCTTTGTGCATCTCTCCCTTCCCCTCCCATGAGCCCTCCCGTTCATTTATAGGACTCTTGTTGAAACCTTTCTTCAGTCTTTTATCCTGGAGCTCCTTTGCTATGAGAACATAGACTCTGCTCCGACTGGCAGCCCTGGGGGTCATCAGTCCTGGCTTTGCAGTCCAGCTTGGGTTCCCCAGCCAGGCTTCTCGAGGCCACAGAATTTTGCTGCACACACAGCCAGTCTTGAAGAACTCAGCTCTCTGCCTTCTTGAAGTGCTGTATCACTCCAGCCTGCCCTGTCTTTCTTCGGGATGTTTTCACAGCGCACACTTCAGCGGTATTTGCCTCTTAAATCACTTATCCCTTATTACTCTGGATAAAAGTAGAATCCAAAAAACAACAACAACAACAAACACTGGAACTGGGGCTCATCTCTCAGGGAATGAACTGACACTTGGTAGAATCTATGACATGGGGCCATGTTAGGAACCCTGAAATCAAGCTGGGTAATAAATATCAAGGTGTTGAGAGTGACAATACTGATATTTGAAAGATTAAACTGAGAGTCAGTGTATCTTATCATTAACATTACTTCTCTAAGAGTCATCATAAACTTGACTTGTATCTCTTGACCAGCTCTTATTCCCATTCACATCTCAGCTTAACTGTCATTTCTTTAAAAAGTCAGACCTTCCCTACTCTACAAATCGTAGGCCACCGGGTTCTGTCATTTCATAAGAACAGGTGGATCACTTCACGCTTGAACTTATTTACTTATTTTCTTTCTTTCTTCCCTTTTTTTTACCGAGACAGGGTCAGGGTCTGTCACCCAAGGTGGAGTGCAGGCCTCACTTCAGCATTGACCTCTCAGGCTCAAGTTATCTTCCCATCTTAGTCCCCCAAGTAGCTGGGACTGAAGGAGTGTGACACCGTGTCTTGTTAACTTATTTATTTTTTTACAGAGACAGGGTCTTGCTGTATTGCCAGGGCTAGTCTGGAACTCCTGAGCTCAAGTGATCTTCCTGCCTCTGCTTCCCAAAATGCTGGGATTACAGGCATGAACTATGGTGTCTGGCCTTGAATTTATTTTCTTAATGCTTGCTTTCCCAAATAGGCCGTAACCTCTGTGAGGCTAGAGACAACACTTTGTAATTACCCGACATACTTAGTGCCAAGAGAAGGCTGGCTCTGGGCAGGCCTTCTGCCCATCTGCACTGCAAGACCAGTATTTGTGTATCTGCAGGCAAGCCCCTCATTGTCGGGGACTAGGTCTTCTCAGGTATTCCTACCATATTTGGAGGTCATCTGCAGGGAAGCCTGCACTGATGGGGAGTCCTTGAGACTTCGTCACCTTAGGGTGATGAGGGTGGGAAAATTGTTCAATGAGGAGAAACACTGAAAAATCTCAATGGACGAAATGGAACTCCAGGGAATGGTGATGGACAGAAAAAAGGAAGAGAAAAACAAAGAGAAGAGTGAATGAACCAAAGTGAATAAGCCTCATTTCTAGATCTATAGACTTCTGGTAACACCTGGTCTGTTTATATGACAAAGCTTCTGTGCTTTACAAAACAAATCCAAATCAAAAACAACAGAAAGCCGTGAAGAGCTATCCACATGCAGGAGGCTTATATTTAGTTGTACTTTATTTTACTAACCAAACTGAAGGCTAGCTTGCTGGGTTCCCTTTCACATTGCCAGCTCTTCGCTGTGTGCATTCATGAATCTGATGCTAATGAGACCTACACTGATCTCACATCAACTTGCAACATTCAGGCTGGATGAATAAGTGTGATCCATTGTGTTCAAAAGGAACAGGTGGTTTAAATTTAAATTCAAATTTTGAAGGAAACACAAAGTGAAACGCTTTGAATGTCAGATAAAAATGTTGATATTTATTAATAATGATATCAGATCGAATAGAATTCAGTCAAACTATTTAACTGTCCAGTAAGTAGAAATTAATGCCATTACTTTGATCTTTTTATATAATTACAGTAATAATTTAGACTTTTCTAGACTGCAACCCTGGGGAGATGTAATGATAGAAAAACAAACTAAACTTCAGGGCATATTCAGCATGAGGTCTGATAAATGAATGCTCTTGATAGTCATTTGTAAAGGAGCTCTTGCCCTGGAGGAAGCTGACTGGGAAACAGAAGCTTTATTAGTGCAGAGGTGTCACTGACTTCACCTACAGTTTTTCTCCACTCTGCGCTGAAGCAGCAAAAGGGGTGAGACACGTACCGAGGCAGGATGGTAATTTTCTGAAGGAGCAGATGTAGTTAAGCCCAGCTTTGTGCGGTGGAGGGCACAGGACTGGGACTAAGGAGACGTGTGTTCTACTTAGGGTGACCAAGGAATCAAATTCTCTTTTGAGAGTGAAGAGGAATAATTTAATAATTATGTTGGGGTAGTATGTGTGAAATAGGAGTGTCCTTGGCCAATCGGGACCCTAATTTGGCTCAAGATTCGTCACTTAATAATTCCCTCATCTTGTGTAATTCTCTTAGCCTTCTCGGGTCTCAGTTTCTTCATTTGTTGCAATTCTTGTCTGTAAATCCTTAAGAGAATAAGGTGAGATAATACATGATAATGAAAGGTTTGAAATAGAAGGTGAAAATAGTCACTTGGTAGCATTGTTACAATGAGTGAGTAAAGCTAATTCTCTTATAAATTACTTGTTTTTTCCCCATTGACCAGAAGAATGAATAATTACTGAGACAAAAATTCCATGTATTTCAGAACATTATGTGGCCACAGATTCTAAGTGTTAAAGCCTTAGTTTGGGGATAAGAGTTTACATTTCAGCACCAAGTTTCCCTTTTATTATTTTCCTATTGGACTGTCAAGATGTAGGCAATATGGCAGCTTTACAACATAAAAATTAACTTTATTCATCAAAAGCATAGATGACTACCAATCTCAAGTTTTTAGTCCAAATGAAAATTCAGTGTAAATGCCTTTAGTACCTAGAATTCCAGCTAAATGGAAAGAAAACTGATTAACTCATATTGTATTATTGGGTGACAAATTATTCTTTCTTTGGGGCTATTGCTGAGTAATGAGAAAAGAAAATGAATATCCAGGATCCTGCTGCTACTCCCCCAAAATATATTATTGTCTTCTTTCTTCTTGAATTTTCTAAGAGCCGCTGTGAGAGCTGGGCCCTTCCACATGCTGTGGTAGCTAAGCTGCAGAGCCAGCTTCCAGGGATCGGAGGCCCAGCAAGGCTCAACTGAGTACCTAAGTTCAGACACCTAACAAGAAAAGGAGCAAAGACTGAAGCAGGTGACAAATCCTCTACACTTTCCCCTAATCCAGTCACTAACCCCACCTTTGCTAGGAGTCCGGAAATCAGATGAGAGATTAAGTACTTTTCAAACTGGTACAAAACAGAAGTTTTCTGGGATTTTAGGATAGTGTGTATATATGCTGAAGGGTGCTTGAAAACATAAACAATGCAGGTGTAAGAGAATTATTAAAAACCATTTTAACCAAGAGGGTGATTGACTAATATAAAGTTAGCAATAATACCTACCATCTGCAATTTTGCCAGTCTCATCAAAATTGGTTTAGCTTAAGAACACTGAATAGCTAAACATGTTTAAAAAAAACCAAAACTCTACTTTAAAATAAAATGGATTTAATATGTTATCTGACTTTGGGCAGGTCTTACTTAATGAATTGATATAGATCACCAATAATGAACTGATATTTCCTTTGAGAATATCTGCAAAAGAGAAGTGTGAATGTTAGATTTCAAATCAAATTATTTCTACTTTAACATATAATCATCACAATACTTTTAAAGCTCAAATGAGCTTATTTCATCCTACCTATGCAAACCAGAGAAAGGTTAAGTACGCAACTTCATCTTGCCAACTGCTGTAAGGGTGACCATCAACTGGGAACTCCCCAAAACTCTAAAAACACCTTGCTGGGCTTGCTTGCCCGAAGCAAAGACGCCCAGTGAGAGGACACGGCTCCATCCAGAGGCACTAAAAGTACTATAAATACAGAAGTGTACTTACCATATGTAACATTATTATTTGATGTAATAAATCAAGACCTCTGCTATGGTTTGATTGTGGCGTGTTCCTGCCAAATTTTATGTTGATACTTGATTCCCAGTGTGGTAGTGTTAAAAGATGGGGCCTTATAGGAAGTGTTAGATCTTTGGTGTGCATCCCTCATAAATAGCTTAATGCCCTCTCAAGGGGTTGAGTGCATTCTTGCTCTTACGAGAATGGATTAGTTCCCCTGTGAACAGGCTGCTAAAACGAGCCTGGCTTCCTTAGTTTCACTCTCTTGACATATGATCTCTTTGCGCACAATCCCCCTACTTTTGCTTTTCCCATTAGTAGAAGCAGCCTGAGGCCCTTGTCAGATGCAGCTGCCCAATCTCAGACTTTTAAGTCACTAAGCTTATGAGCCAAATCAATCTCTTTTCTTTATAAATTACCCAGCCTCAGGTATTCTGTTATAGCAACACACATATACTGAGACATTCTCTATGCCACATCCCTGAAAACTGTTTTAGAACCTACATCTATATAAGGGCTTTTAAATGTATATTGGTCAGAAACATACCATTCCCTCTAGAAAATATATAAAGAAAATATATATCTGGTGGATGACTCCTCTTCCCCTTAAACTTCAAACTGATCATAGTAATCAACTTCTTGCCCAATTCCTCTTTTTTACATCTGAATTTTCAGTAATCAATAATAACAGTCCAGTAATGTGAAGCTGGTACGGC